TCATAGGAGAAGAAGGATGACCACAGTAGAGTTCTTTTCAGAAACTCATCGAGTGTGACCACCTTGACATAATTTTTAAAATGTTATAAATTTTCAACAGAATTTAAACGTAATTTCAGAAACAAAAAATTTATGTTTTAAACTTAAGTAAATATTCTTTTAACTTTTTTTTTAAATTGTTTAACGAAATAAATTCAAAATTAAATCCACTGTTTAAAATTTCGTTCCAGATTCTCGGTCCCTTGCAATACATGTGAGAGAACAAAATATTCGTTTTCGATTTGTTAGAGACAAGATTATTTTGTTGCCGTGATCAGGATGACAATAAAAATAATGATGATGATGATAATGATGACGGTAGTGATGATGATAATGATGAGGAGGATGACGTCATTCGATGCGGATGACGTGTTTAACGAAAGTTAATACTAGCGAGGTTCTTATGCATCGGGCTTGATATTTCATGCGTACAGACCTATCCAACGAACCGTACTGATGACGATGACGACGACGATGCTGATGATGATTGTGATGTTGTTGTTGATGATGATGATAATGAGGCAACACTGATGATGATGAATGAGCGAATTTGATTAAAATGATTTAGTGAAATTAGGGAGAAATGGAGAGAGATAAGGAAAGAAAGAGAGAGAAAAAAAAGAGAGAAATAAGGAAAGAAAGAGAGAGAAGAAAAAAAATAAAATAGCAAAAAAAATTAAGAGAAAATAAAAGAGAAGAGTAAAAAAAACAAAGAAAAAGAAAAGAAAGCACAAAAAAGAAACTCACTCACTCACTCACTCACTCACCCACTCACTCACTCACTCATTCCCTCACTCACTCACTCACTTACTCGCTCCCTCCCTCCCTCCCTCACTCACTCACTCATTCACGCACTCCAACAAAGAAAGCAGGAATGACGGATGGACGGCTGACATTAACACAGGCACATTAACGTCGTTAAATCAATTTACACTAGCATTGGCACACACGGCAAACAGTGAAATACCTAAAAACCTTGCCACATTAATAATAATACCTGCACGCGTACACATACAACCATACGTAGAGAGGGAGAGAGAAAGGAAAAGAGAAAGGGAAAGGGAGAGAGAGAGAAAGAGAGAAAAAGAGGGAGAAAAATACAAAATATGTATTCGAGAGAATTCTTTTACACAAAAATTATATACCAATGAAAAGCTACGTTAAAATACACAGAAATAGAAAAAGAGAAAAAGTGAGAGAAAAAGAAAAAAGAGAGAAAAAGAAAGTGAAAACAGAAAAAGAGAGAAGGAGAGAGAGAGAGAGAGAAAAAGGAGCGCTCGCCAATTTCAGGACCTTATATTGCATTTCTCGAAGCGTAGTAATTCGAATGCTCGCAGCAGAACAACAACAGGATGGCATCATACACACAATTCTGCTCTCTTCATCTCTATCTCTCTCTCTGTCTTTCTTGTTCCAATCCTTTTTTTTTCTCTTTTCTCTCTCTCTCTTTCTCTCTCTCTCTCTCTCTGGGCTTAGCTTATGTTCTTTAACGTTACTATCTTCTCTCGCATGCTATGAGAGAAGAGATTAAAAGTGAGACAAAAAAAGAATGTGTAAAAAAAAGAGAGAAAGAAGTATAGCAAAGAGGAAGAAAAGAGAAAGAGAGAGAGAGAGAGAAGAGAGCTAAGAAAGAGTCTGAAGGCACAAGTAAAAGAGGTAATGTAGAAAGCAAGCAGCCCATAAGACATATGGCATAAATTAATGCAGTCATTTTCATCTTTTTCTCTTTCTCTCTCTTCTCACTCCTTCTCTCTCTTATTTTTTTTCTCTCAATCTTTCCATCCTCTTTTTTGCCATTGAGTCACAACAACCGGCTAACATTCATGAACGTTTACACCAATAAATACAATCGCATATTTGCATAAGCACATGAATATACGCACAGATACACACACACATTTAAACTTAAATACACACTAAAACATACAAACATGATACACGTGCACATACAAACAAACATACATACAAACAAACATACAAACAAACAAACAAACATACACACCAACGCGCTTGTTCCTCGCGTACAAACAACGTTCACATATTTTAATTTTATGGCACCCGAGACGAATAGCGTTTATGAGAGTACGTGTGTGTGTCTCATGTTCTTGCTGCTGCAGCTGCTGCAGCTGCTGCCGTTGCTGTCGTTGCTGTCGTTGCTGTCATTTCTATTACTAACAAATTTGAGGTTTCTTGCTATTGGAATAGTTTATCATCATGGTAGTAGTAGTAGTAGTAAAAGTAATGCTAGTAGAAGTTGTTGTAGTAGTTGTAGTAGTAGTAGTAGTATAGTAGTAGTAGTAGTAATAGTAATATTAGTAGTAGTAATATTAAAAGTTGCAAAATTGAAAGCAATTCAGCAGGAGACATTTCAATGTAACGAGAAATTTTTGCTAGTAATTACTACTACTACTACTACTACTACTACTACTACTACTACTACTACTACTACTACTACTACTACTACAACTACTGCTGCTGCTACTACTACTACTACTACTACTGCCACTACAGTGACAACTACTACTATTACTGACTATGATACTATATCTTCATTTTCAATACTAATGAGTGGAGTATTTCCCCTCATAAATGGCTCCTCCGAGGACAAAACTTTTACACTTTTTCTTGGCATACATTATGTTGTGTCAGCAATACTACTGAAACTGTTGCTGCTACTACTACTACTACTACTGCTGCTGCTGTTGCTGCTTCTGCTGCTACTACTATTGCCGCTATTACTGCTGCTGCTTATGCTACTACTGTAGCTACTTCTAGAAGTAATTCTATTGCATTGTTACTATTATGTTACTGCTATTTCTACATGTATAATAATAATAGTAGTTATTTGTTTTATCAGATGAGTGGATGAATGATTGAACGAATGATTGATTGAATGAATGATTGAATAAATGAATGAATAAAAGAAAGAGTAATTGATTGATTGAATAAATCAATAAATAAATAATAAGAGGATGATCGATTGATTGAACGAATGAATGACAAAATGTACATAGGTCTGTATGATTGGAATAATAAACCAATATGCAAATAAACGAATGATGAACGATGAATGGATGAATGAATGAATGAGTAAGTGAATGAATGAATGAACGAAAGAATAAATAAATAAACAGATAAATAACTAAAAATTTCGTATTATTTTTAAATTTAAAAATAACAAAATAAATTTAGTGAAATCTTTGCCAGAAACTAATTAAACTTATTATTGTCACTATCACTATTATTATTATTATTATTATTTATTTATTGTTATTATTAATGTTATTGTTATTGTTGGATTTTTTTTCTGTAATCCTCGCTCAGCCACTCCAAGCATTCGTTAAACTCGGCCAGCAGTTGTTGTTGTTGATGTTGTTGTTGTTGATGTTGTTGTTGTTGCTGCTGCTGTTGTTGTTGATGTTGTTTACGTTGTTGTTGTTGCTGCTGTTGTTGTTTTTTGGGTTTAAAATGTTGTTGCTCTAGTGAAAGTTGTTGTTGTTGATATTGATGTTGTTGTTGGAGTAGTTGTTGACGTTGTTGTTGTTGATAAAACTGAGTAGATTGATCATCTTGTTTATTGTAGTAATTACAGTTGGCGGGCGTGTATTGATGTTCTTGTTGATGATGATGACGATGTTTTTGTTGTTGTAGTAGCTGCTGTTGTTGCTGGTGTTGTTGTTGATGTTTTTGTTGTTGTTGACGAATTAAATGCATTGAATAACCTTCCGACCTTTTTATAGTATTTGTGTATGGAAAACTTTCGTTATAACCCAGATCATCATCATCAACAACAACAACAACATCATCATCATCAACAACATCACCATCATCATCATCAACAACATCGTTATCAGCACCGCCACAGTCGTCATCATCATCATGAATTTTGCGTTCATTTGTTGGTTTTTCATTATGTGCATTGTCGATATTTGATCTTTGACATTTCTGGCGACTCGCTCCATGTGGCTGGCGTGGTGGCTGTAGCTGCTGATGTAGCTGCTGCAAACTTCCCCCAATCATTCCACCAATAACTCGTCGCCCACCTACCTCGTTACGCGCGCCACAAACATCGCCACACGATGACGGCCAGCCATTGTTAGCCACATCATCGTCTTCCAAGTTAGCCCGGCGGTTTTCTGCATATTTGAAATGACCACCATTTATCTGGTCATTGTTTTTAGAGTAGTAGCAGTAGTAGTAGCCGTCGTTGTAGTTGCGGTTGTGGCTGCTGTTGCTGTTGTGGTGGTAGTCGTTGTCAAAAATTTTCTTTGAAACAATTTTAAACCGACTATTTGGTGTATTATTTGTTGCTGCTTTGTGGCTCGGCGGTTTTGATTTGGTTTGATCTTGATGATGGCGATGAAGCTGATGGTGAAGATGATGAGAAAGAGGAAGAGAGTTTAATGGTAATAATGATGATAGATGAAGCGATTTTAGCCGGTTATGGTTAGGGTTGCTAATGTTCGGTTTGAAATCATTTTCGTATTTCAATTTTTGTTCCTCGTATGCTTGTTCAAGTTTTTCAATTCGATCATGGATGTTTGGTTTATTCGTTATCTCAGTATCCCTAGTCGGTTTTGTATCATCGATAGTTGGTACGGTTTTATTTTCAGTCGGTATTCGACCATCCAAATTCGGTTTTTCTTGATTTATATTCGGCTTTCGCTTAGTTAATTTACGATTTTTTGTAGATTTTTGAGGTAAGGTAAGTTTAGTTGATGTATCTGATAGTTTTGATTTTGTTAATGCATTCTTTAATGTATTAGGCGCAAAAATTGATGTCACTTGATTATATGATCGATTATTTGTTAAAAATCTCTTCATTGAATCATTATTTTTGTATTTTTTCGCATCTTTTCTTCGACAATTCTTTTTGTTTTCAAAATTTTTTGAATTTTTACAATAATTTTTTCCAAATATTTCGTCATCTTTCCACTGCAAACTGTCTATTAAAGATGAATTCATTAATTGTGATAAATTTGGGTCGCTAAAATCGCTACCACACACGCCACTAATAAGATTAAAAGCGTTTACGTCTCCAGTATCATCATAAAAGTCCTTTTTACCGGTACTGTTAATCAAATTAAAATCGGCGCTCTTATTAGTTTTGGAAAAATTTTTATGTTTGTTGCTGCTGTGAAAATTTTTCCAAAATTTCTTCATGTTCTCATCGTTTAGCTGATTGGTTGTTGGTGGCTGCTGTGGTCTGCTGTGTCTGTGGCTGGCGATATGATGGTTGTGGTGGTTTCGGATAATTTTCCGTTGTGGTGAAGAATTTTTTGAAATTTTCGAAAAAATTTGAGTTTTTGTTGGTTTGGTGAGTCGTCTTTGAGTGTGGTGAATTAATTTTTTCTTGAAATTGCAATTCATCTTATCATTATTGTTGCCGTTGAAAGCAGTAGTTGAATCGGAGGGCAAGCTGACTTTTGGAATGTTGTTGTTATGCTTGATCTGATTGGTTGTGGGTGTTTCACTATCATTTAAATGTCGTTGTTGATTTTGTTGTTTATGTTGTTGCTGTTCTCTTTCTCTGGACTTGCTCCTCCATTTAAAAGAGTTGAAAAACCCTGCTAGTTTCTTATTTAATTGTTGTAAATGTTGGTTTTTGCATTGTTGTTGTTGTTGTGGTGGTGGTGGTGATGGTAGTGATGGTGGTAGTTTTTCTGGCATTTCTGAATGGCACGCTTGCGCTTTTTCAAATTTGTCAGGTTCGGGTTTGGTTTTCGAGTCAGATGATTTTTGTTGAAGTTGTGTTAATTTTTGTTGCTGCTGTAAAAGTTGTTGTTGCTGTAAAAGTTGTTGTTGCAAGAGAATCTGTTGATGAACTTGAAGCAGTTGTTGTGGTTGCTGCTGCTGCTGCTGTTGTGGTTGCTGCTGCTGTTGTGGAAGTTTTTCATCGTCTTTAATTTCTGCAAAAGTTTCGCTAACGAG